AAAAAAAAAAAAATGAATATGAAAGTTTGTTTTTTTTCATTAAAACAAGAGGAATACTAAACATGTAAGAAGATGACTAAACAGATAAACTGTTTCAATTGTATTGTTGGAAAAAGAGAGTTGTAATTAGGAAACTATAAATATTTAATGTCTGCCTTTAACTAAGACAGTGAACATGAAATTATTTCCATCTGCAATGTTCTTGTTAGATAAGTGTCACTGTCTTTATTAATTGAAGCTTAAAGAAGTCAGATAAATTTTCCAAAGTTGAGTATAGCTTTCCGGTTTTCAAAGTTCAGCTCTTCCATTTTACAGTGTTGTGACTATGAAACTTATGGTCTAAACTTGAACACTTGTGGAAATAATAGGAGATTCTATTAATAGTTACACTAGACCACTAGTACCTATACTGGGATGTATAATCAACTATATTTTGAGTGTCTTTATAGATTTGGAATTTGTGCTAATGGACAGGGCCTGCCCAGATCAATTAGGGGTGAAATCACAATTTGAAAATATTCCTCATAATCAGGGTTTTTGGAGAGGGGGTTATATGAAAGGGGAAGATTTTTAAAATAAATTTGACACTTAACATCTCTGATGTTCTTCTGTTCTATTTTATGTATACCAAAATAAATGGTTGTTATTAGGCACTTAATAAGCATTTTGTTTTAAGATTATTCGATGTAGAAATTATGAATTTGGCATAGCCACCTTCAAACTAAGGAAATGAAAGTAGGTAGAATCTACTGTATTATTAGGGTTTTAAAATACATATTAGATGTTATGTACCTATTATATATAAAGTAATAAAAACAAAGTTACATGAGCAGTATATTCTAGGTGCCCTTACTGTTGCCTGGTCTGATAAACAGTCACATATACATGTTAATAAACTGTGTGGATGCTAATGAATACTTAGCAGATCAAGCATTGGTATTCAGTCTGATGTATCAGACCAAGTATTACTATTTACAAAATCAATCCCTACAAATCAGTTTAAAAAAAAAGATGATAACCCAGAAGTAGAGAGACAAGAGATACAAACTTGATACAAACTTGGCCAATAAACTGACATAAAAGGTTCAAAGTACCAGTATTAGGAAACTGCAGACTAAATGATTCACAAACTCATTACCATGGTTTATGAGATCCTGCAAGAGCTTCCCATCACCCTAAACTCATAACATTCTCTCCTCTTATTTTCCCTACTTTTAGTTCAAGCCACCTCCTTTCAGTTTTTAAAAGTTCTTCTGTATTTTCCATCTGAAATAATTTATCCTGGCACTTTTTTTTTTTTTTTTTTTTTGGTCTCACAACATGATTTCTAATCTTATTTGTTTGCTCATTTTCTGTTTCATATTCTAAGTTCTATGAGGTCAGGGACTTTCTCTGTCTTATTTTTCACTGTATCTATCCCCAGTGCCTTAACCAGTGCTTGGAACATACTAGGAATTCAAAATAAGAGATAATAATAATAATGCTTGTTATTGGATAATAAGAGAACTGTTGGCATTTAACTGAGGTTTTTTTTTATACAATTAAGAGCTGAGACTGAGAGATCATATGGGCTCTCATATTCTCTGCTATCCTTTCCCACCATTCTATGTCTAATATATTCCCAGTCCAATAAGGTTAGTATACTCAGAAGATCAACAAACAGTAACATAACAAAACAAAGAAAACCAAATTTCTGTCCTTAAGCTTTTCAAATGAAAAACAAATTAATAGACTATGTACTAGTTGAAAGTAATTAGTTATAGTAATCATGATGGTTGAGTCCTTCTGAAATGAGAAAATTCAGTAAAGATGTGACTTCGGATCTTTTTAGTATAGTTAATCTTCCACATAGTGTCTAATTCCTATCACATCTTTTAGCTTATTCTGGATTCTAATGTACACCTAATGTTTACCCCATGTGGTTTTGGTTAGCTATTACTCAGATGTACAGGAATCAGGCAGAGGTGTTCATTTCCTCCATTACTTGGTAGTAAGTGTATAAGGACTTAATGGTTTGGTTTTTTTCCCTCCTGCATAAAGAGTTCTTTCTAAAGGACAGAACCAGATGTCACATACCACCTCCTTTTTGCCCCTGCGTATCATTTTCTTTCTTTCTTCTTCTTCGTTTTTTTATTTGAGACACAGTCTTAAACTGTCACCCTGGGTAGAGTGCTGTGGCATCATAGCCTATACCAACCTCCAACTCAGGCTTAAGCGATCCTCTTGCCTCACTTTTTGTTTTTAGTTGAGACAGGGTCTCACCTTTGCTCAGGCTGGTCTCAAACTCATGAGCTCAAGCAATCCACCGCCTCAGCCTACCAGAGTGCTAGGATTACAGGCATTAGCCACTGCGCCTGGCCCTAAATATCATTTTCTAAGACTTAAAAAAAAAAAAAATCCTATCCTTCAGAAATGAACTAAGACTTCTTTTGACATCCAAACTTGGTATGGTATTTTTTCCCCTTAACTCCCCTGATCAGCTAAAGAAAAGAAACTTCTTTGTTTATGTGCATGACAACACTGTTCTAGGTGGCTATCTTAGATGCTCTGACATAATTCTGTTGTATCCCTTATAATGTTTTATATTTTAGTTATTTGTTGTTGGAATTTTTTTTTTGTTGTTCTCATTAGTATATAAATTGTTTTAGGCCAGTGTAGGTGATTTTCTTTATTTGTTCTTAGGAACCTAGTAAATATTTGTTGAAGAAATAAAATGAAAGATGGATGAATGGTGGGTATACATTGTCCTATAGTTTCCTTACGTATGAAGGGAAGGGAGATAAGTTTTACTTTTCTAAATCTAAGAATGGAAGTCTCATTTCTTCTCCTTCATTAAGTTTTAAAACCTCTCTCATCATAGAAATAACATTTGGACAACTCTGTTAAGGTTTACTGATAATGTTTTATAGGATGCCTAGATGGAACTGAGCAGAATAAAAAAGTTAAACTGTGTTGTGCTCAGTTGCTGAGTCAGTTTTGGAATCCATAAAGCATTCAATAAATCACTGTCTTTATTTGGTCCATTTCATTGTTGTTTATTAATAGTGATTAACTTCAACAACAACCAGGAATCAATGAAAGAGAATATATTTCTAGTGCATTAAATAGTATATATCTTGAGAGGAAGGTGGGCAAATAAACCTAACATTTTTCAGTATGTAAAAATGGTTCTTGAAATCCTTATCTTAAATTTATAAATTGTTATTTATCAAATCTATTTTTAATTTTCCCAGAATGGCACAGAGAAGACATAAAAGAGTAAGAACATGGACTCGTCACATAAACATTTTTAATAAAGATTACATCTTTGTACCTGTAAATGAATCGTGAGTATTTCAGATTATTGAGGAACAAATTGAGAGAGTTCAGAAAAAAATATTTTGTAGCATTTTTAGATTAATAATCAGTAATGAGTATTGGTACATAAATCTCAGGTATTATTTATATTCATTTTCTATAAAAGTAGCTAAGACAAATTACTTATTTTGATTTTGGTTTGATAATGGTTACGTTGTAAATAGAGTGAGAAAACCTAAAGACAATCACAAGACTATAAAGACTAAAACTTTGGACCTTTTAAAATGAATAATCAAAATATTTTTAGGGTAGATTTTAAATACTGAATGAGAATAAACTCTTTAAGGACTAGTATGGAAAAGGTGAGGCTATGAGTTTGTTTAATAAAACAGATCCTCTAGGAGAAATACTTATTGTGTATACACTTATTGTGTATTACACTTATTGTGTAAATAAGTTTGAATTATTCAGATGTTACCCTAAATAGTGTTACTTATGCCTTGGTATTTAGATATACAATTAGTTTGGAATGTGTGTTCTATGTTACAATCAGATATTACCATGGACATTTTCATAATTAATATGAAGTTTATCATATTCACTTTCTCAGACATAGCTCTAGAAAGTATTCTTCAACATTGTTTAATAACTGCATGTTATTAAGATTGTAGTTCTCTTTCAACAGGTCTCACTGGTATCTTGCAGTCATTTGTTTTCCATGGTTAGAAGAGGCTGTGTATGAAGATTTTCCACAGACTGTATCCCAGCAGTCACAGGCTCAGGAGTCCCAACATGACAGCAAAACAATAGGTGACATCCTAATGTAGATGGTGTTTTTAGTAATGATGACAGTAGTATAAAGGTTACAGGGAACTATGAAGTTAAAGGTAGTATAGTTATTTGTTATTAAACTTACTAGAAGAAAGAAGAAAAAGGCTGAAATTTTCATGATTAAAAACCCAGTTTCATGTAATTCTTAAGTTATACCATTGTATCAAGTTTTATTAAATTTAAAAATTATTACTGATTTTATTATGAAATATTGCAAATGTATAAAAAAGCATAGTTATAACATAACCAACAATTGGTACTCCTTTTACCTATTTTAAGAAATTAAATTTGTAGATATAATAAAAATCTCTGTGGTCCTTTCCAGTCTTCTTTCTTCAATGCAGAAGTAACCATCAAGCTAAACTTGATGTTTATTCCCATGTATGTCAGATTACTATTCCCATTGGCATTTTTTGCTTGTTTTAACTCTTTCTTTTTAAATTGACAGAAAAAAATTGGATTTCTTTATTATGTTCAGCATGTGTTTTGAAGTATATATACATTCTGGAATAACTGAAAATAGCTAATTATAGCATTTTTAAATAAAATAGTTTTGCTAACATGACTAAGAAAGAATTCATGCCACCTTTAAGCTATGCCTAAAGTTTCCCATTTTTACTTATTAGAGTCTTGTGGAATTTAATAATTTGGCTAGCCAATATAGGATCTCTTATAATTCTTCCATAGTTTTTCTTACGTTGTAACCCAAAATTTCAAGTGAACAAATAAGCCTGTTTTGTTTAAGAAAAAATTACCAGAATTAAGTATTTCATAGCTATAGCTTGAGTAACAAGCAGAAAGAATAACATCCATCACTATTAGTGCTGACTAAAACGTAGGAGGGAAGAAAGAAAAACTGATAATAAAGCAACACATTATTTTTGGTTCTCTCTAATTCTCTTGAGCTTCAGTGAGGTACTTACACAAAACTCTGCAGTCGTAGTTAGAAGAACCGTTACTAAGCAATTTGTCCTCCACATGAAAACAGCAGACATTTTGATTAATGAGTTAGTTATCTTTGAAAACTATCTTTTTATAGGAAATTGGACCAGCTAACTGGTATTTCAGGTTTTGGTTCTCGGGTTTATGTATTGTCTGATAACAGCCAACCATTGTCAGTTTTATGTTGACTGAATTTTATTCATAACATTAACCATGAAAAAATCAAATAGGTCCCATTATTTTTTCTTTATTTACCATTGTGCATACATATTACAATTTAAGCTTATCTAAATTATCTGTATTAAAAATACAATATTGGGCAGCACCTGTGACTCGGTGGGTAGGGCACCAGCCCCATATACCAAGGGTGGAAATTTCAAACCCGGCCCTGGCCAAACTGAAACAAAAAAATAGCTGGATGTTATGGTGGGCACCTGTAGTCCCAGCTAATCAGGAGGCTGAGGCAAGAGAATCGCCTAATCCCAGGAGTTTGAGGTTGCTGTGAGCTGTGACACTATGGCACTCTACTGAGGGCAATAAAGTGAGACTGTGACTCAAAAAAAAAAAAAGAAAAACTATGATACTCATAATTTCCTTGTTATTTTTAACTAATTTCTAGATAATGACCCGCAAACTACTTCAGCACTGTCTTTGAGTGCAGAGGATTCTCCAGTAAGTATGTTCTTTACAGATGTGAAGAAAGGAACACTCATAAAGATAATAATATTAACTATAAAAGAGGGCGTGGCTAGGTGCACTAGGCTGGATATTAGTGGCCCATCATTAAACTGTGCTGCTTTATGATTCCTTGGGGGGTTTTGTGGGGCTAGGAAAGAGAACAAGAGAAAAGAGTCATTCTTATGTTTAGTTTTTCTTTACTTCCTATGTTTGTTTAGTTAGCAATTTATCTGCTGTCCATCTTGGTTAACTACTTTTCTAATTTTTAAGGATCATGTTTGCTTTTATTCTTCATTATGTCTATAACCTTTTGAATTTAGTGTACTTAATAATCTTAAGCTGATTTTATATTCTAGTTTCCATTGTAAATTGTTGGTAAAAATCATTCAAGTTAGACTCAAGGTCAACCCATATGACTATAGATTAAAATAGTTACTGTTAACTCTTCTTTATATGGTGTTCCAAACTACTGTGCATAGTCTAGATTTGGTATTCTAATTAAGATATTGAATATTGAACAAATGAATATTTTGTATGTACAGACAGCAGCAGCCTTCCTGGCATAGGCCTATGTCTTTACTGTCACTGGTAATGAATATCACTTCCTACGGAGGAAGATTTTCTTTTCTGCTGTCACAGTGGCGAAGTAGGAGAGTTTCCTCTTGTTTCTAGGGCCAGGTTTCTCAGATTGAGTGCCTTGGAATGCAAATTCTAAATGCAGTTTATGATAAAAAGTATTCTAAGGTCAGTTAAATTGGGCAAATCCTGGATACCATTCATCTCTTGGAGATTCACTGTGTATATAAGAATAATAAAGGTACTGCAAAGGTCTACATTTAAAGAAATCTGTTTAAGTTTGGTATTTTGTTTCTTGAATTTATGAATAAAAACAAACTTTATCAATAAAAACAATAAAATTTCCCATCCTTGTCCCCTTCATATACATTAATACTCTGCTTCATGTGCTTCAAGGGGAAGAAAAGTATCTCTTCTGACATCATAAATTATATTAGAGAATGTATGTAAAGATAGGTTAAATTAACTTGTTTATCTTTGCTTAAGATGATTTGAATAGAAGTAAAGCTCCAGATTATTTTTTACACCAGCTTAAAGCTCCGTAACTACTTGAGGTCATATGCAAAAGTGTATAAACTGTTTTACTAGTATAAGAAAATAAATTAATGAAATTTTGTAAAATGAACTTAGCTCACTTTAGGTAATGGAAAGAACTCTTACTTGAAATTTTAATTTCAAAATTGTTTGACACAGCCTTAAGGATTGAATTTTATTCATAACATTGACCATGAAAAAATTAAATAGATCTCAGGTATTTTTTAATTGCTACTGTGCATAAAAAATTACAATTAAAGCTTATCCAAATTATGTGTATTAAACATCCAGTAAAGACTCATAATTGCTTTATTCCATAATTTGAATATTACTTTGTGTAAACTAGCTTTAATTGCAAAGTCATAAATACCCGTATTATTTCAGAGTACCGAGATGAACATGTCAGTACCAAAGAAAATGTGTAAAAGGTATGTTCATGCTATAAAACAGCTTTTTTAGGTATTTAGATATACTTCACATACAGCTACATAAATTTTGATTTCATCCCTTACTTTTCACAGGCCATGTATTCTCATACTTGACTCCTTGAAAGCTGCTTCTATACAAAACACAGTTCAAAATTTACGAGAGTAAGTCAAGACAGTTTTATTATTTTGTCTATTACGTAAAACTTCATTAATTTTGAAGCTACTTTAAGAGTTACTGAAATGCTCATATCAGGAATTATACTTATTTATTTTTATTTTTTTTCCTTTTTTTATTAAATCATAAACACATAGATCATGTATACATTAATGCATTTATGGGGTACAATGTGCTAATTTCATATAGAATTAGGAATGCTTACATCACACCAGTTAATATCATTTACTTAGTTATTGTGTTAAGACATTTATACTCTATACGAACAGATCTGACATGTACCAGGAATTATATTTAATTTTAAATTAAAATGAGGCTGACGAACCTTAATCATTAATAACTATATTCTATGTTAATATTAAAGTATTAATATTTCTCAAGGATTGGGCAGCACCTGTGGCTCAGTGGGTAAGGCGCTGGCCCCATATACTGAGGGTTGTGGGTTTGAACCTGGTCCCAGCCAAACTGCAACAAAAAATAGCCGGGTATTATGGTGGGCATCTGTAGTCCCAGCTACTCAGGAGGCTCAGGCAAGAAAATCACCTAATCCCAGGAGTTGGAGGTTGCTGTGAGCTGTGATGCCATGGCACTCTACTGAGGGCGACAAAATGAGACTCTGTCTCAAAAAAAAAATAAATTCTCAAGGATTATATCAAAAGTAAGTTCAGAATTTGTATTCATAATTGTATAAAAGCACAATTTTATAAGAAAGCATTGCAAATATTAGCTATTTTCAAAAGTACTACTTTAGAAAAAATAAGAATTCTTCACATTTGTATCGTTTGTATATAATTTTGTAATTTACTTTGGGGTCTGGAAAAATCTAACAAAGAATTTTTAAAAATAATTTGTTAGTTTATTATATAAATAGCATAATGTATTTGAGCTCTGAAAATGGAATTGTTAAAAAAAGTTTAGCATTTGATTTGAGAATTGCATATTTATAGTGGCATTTGGGAAGGCTCACAAAATATAGTTTATACTGTTAAATTTCAGTCTGTGGAAATTTGGCTTGAGATAATAATGCATCTGGCAGCAAATATTTTTCTACCTTTGTGAAAATGTTGCATATAGATGAGGTGACTTCTACTTGGGTCACTCTGTTTATTGATAATTTCAGGTACTTAGAGGTAGAGTGGGAAGTTAAGAGAAAAACTCATCGTGAATTCAGCAAAACAAACATGGTGGACCTATGCCCAAAAGTTCCTAAACAAGACAATAGCAGTGATTGTGGAGTATATTTACTGCAGTATGTGGAAAGCTTCTTTGAGGTATGTGAAGGTATAAATAAGGTTTTTTGTTCACAGTTAACAGCAGACAATCACAAGCCTCTGGGCAAGCAAAGAGGTAAGAAAACGTTATAGGTAATCAAGATTTTAAAAAAGAAAGAAATAGAATCACATGTGATCTATATATTGCAACAAGCAGATAAAAACTTTAAAGTGATTTGATTACTATGTTAGAGAAAATAAAGCCAAAGATGAACAAAATGGGTGAAGAGATAGAGTATATATTGGCTTGGTGCCCATAGCACCATGGTTATGGCACCAGCCACATACACCGAGGCTGGCGAGTTCGAACCTGGCCCAGGCCAGCTAAACAACAATGACAACTGCAACAAAAAAATAGCCAGGCATTGTGGTGGGAGCCTGTAGT